AGGAGCAGGAGCAGGAGCAGGAGCAGGAGCAGGAGCAGGAGCAGGAGCAGGAGCAGCATGAGGAGAAGGAGCAGGAAGAGGATCAGGAGGAGGAGTCTTCTTGGTCCCCGAGGACGCCCCGAGTTCGAGTGCCGCGCCTGCCGCCTCGCGCTCTCGGGGAGCGTCCTGTGCGCCGTCGGGGCCAGCGGGGAGCTGCTGGTCCGCCTGCTTGGCGGCGGCGGGGCGGCCGTGCTCGCAGAGGCTCGGATGCCACTCCTGGGAGGTCAACTTCTGATTTTGCCCTGGTCCCAAACCTGGTTGAATCCGGCTCATTCCCGCCCGGTCCCGCTTTATCCGGCTCAGTCCCGCTCCGAATCCGCGGCCCGAGCCCTCACGGTGGAGGCGTTTGTGAAGGAATGTGCCTAGGACTAGGACGTTTCAGACCCTGGAGGATTCCATATCCAATGGTGGCGGCGGTTATATACATGGCCACTCCACGATTGGAGGTCCACGGGCTTCAAGACCCTGGATGACTTATCCAGTGGCTTCTTACTCAACACCTTCACCGCATTGTTTCCGACGAAGACCTCCCAGCAGTTGGCTTCCGAGCCGAGGGCGGCGTGGTGGCGGCGGGCGCGGCGTCCAGGCACGTCGTGGCCCTGCTGGGGCCGCAGGCCGCGGGGCCCGCCCCAAGCCGGGGGCGCGGCGAGCGAGACGGCGCGCGGCGCGCGGAGCGGGGCGGCGGCAGCTCCGCCGCCCGCTGGAGCCCGCAGGCTGGGCGGTGTGCTCGGAGTCGGGTCTGTCCCTCTACGGGAGGAATCTCCCAACGAGTTGGAAGAGCCAAATTTTTGTTTACAGTTGATTGGAAGGGAAAAAACCGTGTGGGGAAGGTGTGTTCTACTGCTTCTGGATACGTGTGGGATCTTTGGGGATTTTGCTTTCGCCCGGAATCCGCCTGTAGGAGGACATGCCCGACCGAAGAGTTGCTGAAGGTGCCCGTGGCCCAGGGTGCCCCGAACTTGTGGCTCCCCCTTGGAGCCCCCTTTGGGTCCCCCAGGGCTTCGCATGCTCTGGAGGCCGCGAGGGCCTCTTTCCCTGACCCCCGACGTCGTGACTTCGTCTCAGCGCGGCCCCCAGAGGACTCGACACATTTTTCTGGGTGGGGACGGTTCTGCATCCTGAGTCGTTCTGGACGGTCCCGAGGCCCAGCAAGGGCCCCAGCTGCCGAAGATAGCAACAACAAGCCCGCCATGATTCATTCATCGAGGATAAGAGGACGCCTAATCCCGGATGCCGCGATGAAGACAGAGCCTCGCAGAGGTCACCGCCTTTGCATTAGGAATACTAGCTCTGGGCGGTTTGGTTCGATAGATCTTCAGAAACAAATCTCCCGTCCCCAGTGTTTTTGGCCCTCCTAACTTGGGTCTCCTTCCAAAGGGTTAGGGCGGGCCTTTGGAGGGCCAGCAACAGCAGCAGCAGCAGCAGCAGCAGCAGCAGCACCAGCACCAGCAGCAGCTGCGGAGGGAGGCCTTCCCAGAGGGGGGCGGGGAAGGGGGTAGGAGGAGGAGGAGGAGGCGGAGGAGGAGGAGGCGGAGGAGGAGGAGGAGGAGGAGGAGGAGGGGGGGACGAGGAGGAGGTGGAGGAGGAGGAGGAGGAGGAGAGGAGGAGAGGAGGGGAGGAGGCGGAGGAGGCGGAGGAGGAGGAGGAGGAGGGCGTCTGGGCTGCCAGTAGCGCCCTCTGCAGGAGGACGAGGCGGACGGCCCCCACTCGGGCCGCGGCCGGCGCCCCCGCAGCGAGGCCGCGGCGGAGCGCCCCGCGCCAGAGCCCGAGGGGCCCGCCCTGGAGCGCGGGGGCAGCGATAGGGGGGAGAAGGGCGATACATATATATATATATATATATATACACATATATACATATACACATAAAAATAAATAAATAAATAAATAAATAAATACATACATACATTTAAATATACATATATATATATATGCACATATATATATATATATATATAGATAGATATATAGATATGTGTATAAACATATAACGGCGCACCGGGTCCGGGCGCCCGGGGCCGGCGCCGCTACTGCAAATGTGGGTCCCCGGGCCCTCGGGGAGCCCCGGGGCCTCACAGAAGGCCGCCAGAAGGCGCCAAGGAGGCCCCAAGAGGCTCCAGAACAGACCCGGGACGCCCGAAGGTCGCTCCCAGACGCCCAACATGGCCTCCAAGGCGGCTTCAGAAGCCCCCAAGACACCCCAAGCGACCCCAAATAAGGCCCCAAAGAGAGCCCCAAGGGGCCAAAATAGCGCTATTCCCTTCGTAAAACGTATATGTTTGACGTATTGCTTGTTTTCGCTATCGGTCCGTGCTTGGCGACCTCAGAAGCTCCCAAGACCGCCCCAGTAAGGCCCAGGACGCGCCCCAGAGGGCCCCAATACAGCCCCAGAAAGATCCAGGACGGCCCACGAAGGGCCCAAGACGGCCCAAGAGAGTTCCCAAGACGGGCCCGAGAGGGCCCCAGAGGAGGAAAGCCACCATCGAATTCCAAGCTTTCGACCCCAAGTGGCTCCAGGAGGCGCCGAGAAGCCCCCAAGAAGCGCCCGGAAGGCCCCCCAAAGCACCCCAAGACGCTCCAAGAGGCACCCCAAGAGAGCTCCAAGAAGCAAAAATCGTCCCATTCCCATGGGAAAACGTATATTTTTCGTGTGCTCGCCTGTTGGGCTGTCATCGCGTCCAAGACGGCCCAAGGGGTTCCCAAGACGGCCTAGGAGGCCCCCAAAAGAGCTCCAAGACGGGCCACGAGAAGCCCAGGACGGCCCAATGGGCCCCCAAGACGGCCCAAGAGAGCCCCAAGACGCGCCCGAGAGGAGTCCCAGAGAAAGAAAGCCACTCTCGAATTCCGAGCTTTCGGCACGAAGAGATCCCAGGAGGCGCCGATACGCCCCCAAGAGGCCCCAAGCAGGCCCCCCAAAGCACCCCAAGATGCTCCAAGAGGCACCCCAAGAGAGCCCCAAGAAACTAAAATCCGTCCATTCCTATGGGGAAACGTATATTTTTCGCATGCTCGCCTCTTGGGCCGTCACCGCGTCCAAGACGGCCCAAGAGGCCCCCCAAAACGGCCTAGGAGGCCCCCAAGAAATCTCCAAGACGGCCTACGAGGAACGCAGGACGGCCCAATCGGCCCCCAAGACGGCCCAAGAGAAGCCCAAGAAGCGCCCGAGAGGGGTCCCAGAAGAAGACAGCCACTTTCGATTTCCGAGCTTTCGGTCCCAAGAGCCCCCAGGAGGCGCCGATAGGCCCCCCAGAGGCCCCAAGAGGCCCCCCAAAGCAACCCAAGACGCACCCAGGAGGCCTCCAAGAGGCCCCGAAGAGGCTCATAACTTGGTTCTAATGCGCCGGCGAGAGAGGCATCCAAGATGCCATGCGAACCTTCTCTCTGGGGCCGTAGGTGGATCTTCTTGTGGGCCAAGACCAATGTCAGGGGTGTGCCGACTCGGGTGGATTGGATGCGAACATTGCCGGGGGCCGTCGGCTGAAGTCTATCAAGCCTAGCTGGAATTTGAGCGCGCGCGAAGCGCGCGCGATGGTTATATATATATTATATATATATAATATATATTATATATATATATAATATATGTATGCTTTTCGTCAGGGCCTCCTGGGTGTCTTCTCCGCTCCGCAAGCTGCGCGGTGACTTCCCGCGGCCGTGGAAGAAGCGCGTTCAGGGCACTCTGGGCTCCCTCCCGTGTGCATCTCGCGCGCGGGTTTTCAGGGCTGGGTTTCTTGCGAGGGTTTCTTGCGGCCGCGTCCGCACTGTATATCAACCGTGCATCGAGAGATGCATCGTAGATGTCAGGGCGGTCTGCACCGGCGATGTGTCGACGATGCACGGCGGCGATGTATCGGTCAGTCGAGGTCGATGCATCCCCCCCCCATTGCCTCTTCCGCACGGTCGATGCCCCTGAGGAGCGCGGGGCGAGCCCTACGCCGCCCTGCCAAGGGGAGGCCCCCCCCCGCGGCGCCTTGCGCGACCTGAGAGCCAAGCACGCGGCGCTCGCGCGCGAGCAGCGGCGGCTCCGCGTCGGGCACGCGGAGCTGCAGGCCGAGGCGCGGCGGTGCGAGGATGGGGCCCCGAGGCTGGAACCGTCTTGGGGCTCTGAGGTAGCCCAGCATTGGTTCTGGTCATCAGGAACGGCGGCAGGTCCGAAGTGCTGGGTTCGGAGAGGTTGTTTGCCTCTTTCGGCCCCTTTGTGGGCCGCTTTCGCGCCCGGGGGCCGTCAAACAACAGATCCGTTGGTGAGAAACTGCATCGGATGGACCTTTGAAGGGGTGCGGGGACCGATTTTGCACGGTCTGGCTCCATCCCGCCCTCCTGACCGATTTTCTCGGGCCGCATCCAGTTCAGACCCCGAGAAATGCTCGCGTCCAGACCTCAAATTGCAACGGGAGGTTTTTCGTCGTTTTCGGCCTCTGGTTTTCCCCGGCTGGCCTTGGGATCTTCAAAACACGAGTCAGGATGTAAATTCGATCTCGGGGAAATGGTCGGGACTTCTGGGGACCTCGTATTGAACGAATCAAGACATCGCATGTCTGGTGATGGGTTTGAGGGATGTTGTGGTTATTGGATGCTGGATTTTTCTGGTCACAACCGGCGAGATCTGTCACTATTGTTTCTTTTTGGTGTTCTTCAAATTCCAGTATCGGCTTCGACCGGGGGCCAGTCGGTTGCGGCCGATCGGTCGCGATCGGTCGCGACCGATTCGGAATGCCGATTTGTCGCTACCGATTGCGACCGACAAACATTGGATCTCCAACAATCTGGTTGTAGGACGAGATCGGGCTCCCAAGTTGAGCTCTTGCACAGTTTGAGGCCCACCTCCCCTGGCGCCCCATCCTCAAGACCCCGACGCAATGGTTTCGTCATGTACAGAGGTCTCGACCCCTTCCCCCGGGGCGGGGATCTTCATCCGGGGCAATTTTGGGACGGTCAGGGGCATGGCGAGGGAAAACGAACTGCGCGACAATTTTCCGCCGCCTTTCACAGGCGGTTTGCCGCCCCCCCCCAACTTCCAATAAAATCGAGCCGCTCCGACAAGAACGGGAACTCAAGTTTTGATTTCCAGGCGGCTATTCGGACGCACCCCAATTGAGGATGGACGCGCCCTCATATCAGATATCCCCGAGTTGGCTCCCAATTTGTCGGCAAACATGACCCCCCCCATGAAATCCCAGACCCCGCCATGATTTTTTAGAACGTCGGCCCCAAAGGTCTCGACCCATTCCCCGGGTCGAGTTGTTTCCTGCTGAGTTGTTATTCGACGGCCCCGAGGCCATGTCAGGGCCCTCTGAGGCTGAAAGGATGGAAAAACCGCCCGTCGAGTTTTTCCTTGACCCGAGGGGGTTTGGGTCCCGCGTGAAGTCATAATACGTGCCATGGCGTGAGGGGGGTCTGGGCCCCTCAGAGCCCCCCCTCTCTTCCTCTGCCTGGAGCCGCCGAGAGGTGCTGGCCTGGCGCGAGGAGGCCTCGCAGGGCGCCCAGCGCCTCCGCGCGCTCGAGGACCTCCCAGCGGGCCTGTGTCGACTCCTCGCCCACCGACCTGTGGGGATCGATGCGGATGAAAAAGCCACACGGTGAACCCAGACCCCCTCGGGTCATGAAGACAGCATGGCGGAGCTGGCTGTTTTGCCATGTTCGGCCTGACGGAGGGCTCTGCGTGCCCCAGGGGCCGTCGTGCAGCGACTCGGAATGGAAAGCTGGGCCTGGGGAGTGGTCATGAGCAGATGTCGAGATCTCTGGGGGTCGACGTCACGAAGAAATCGGCTGGTGGGGACTAAGCAGGATCACAAGTCAAGGTGAATGCAGATGATCGGGCGGGTGGTAATGGGGCGTGCGCTACATGGGAGGTAAAGAAAAGGACCCTCAAGGGGCCTTTTGGGGCCCCCGATGGCTCCAGAAGGGACCCTACAGGGCCCCTTCGAGGCCACTCTGTTCACCCCCCCCCCCTCCAGAACCACCCGCCCGATAAGGGACAGAGAAAGAAGACGCCGTGCACGTCAGAGATGCATGGGCAGGACGAGTGGGGCCGACGCGACGGCAGGCGAACGCCGTGAGACACTCCGAGCACCCCAGCGCCGCCAAGTCCATGGGCAGGGCGTGTCTAAAACCTGTGCATGCATGAGGGCGGGCCGAAATTTCGTTCGACCGAAGTCAGACTGCAGATGCCGCGGTCCACACTCGGAGGAGGTGCCGCGTCGGCTGCGGTGAAATCTGGGCCCCCTGGCCAGCTCCAAAAGGGGCCCGCCAAGGACCATTTTGGGCCCCCTCTCTTCACCCCCCAATGTAGGTCGCGTCGCCCCTCAGAATCACCCGCACGAGGCGAGGGCGGGTCCACGCAGAAACATTGCGCTCGATCGAAGTCAGACTGCAGATGCCGCGGTCCACGCTCGGCGGGGGTGCCGCGTCGGCAGCGGTGAGATCTGGGCCCTCGAGGGGACCTTTTGGGCCCTGGCCGGCTCCAAAAGTGGCCTGGAAGGGCCCATTTGTCGGCACGAACGATATGGGTACTGAAAGAATGTGTACAATGCCCAGCAGCAGTTCTTGTTCATTTTGAACAGGACTCGCTGTCGGTGTCGGCCGCTGTTTGTTTGAGAAAACATTTGTTGTTGGGCATTCTGCCCGTATTTTCCGTGACTTTAAGGGTAGCTCTTTGGGAGATGTTACAGTATCGGGAGCATAGCTCGCGCGCCGCTGCCTTGGGCTCAAGGCACGCGCGCCCTATTTGCCCGGACACCGCGAGTGTTCGCTATGTGCTGGAAAGATCACTACATCGATCTTATCCTATCTTACCCATCCACCCCTCATACTGTACCTTCACAGCAGAGCGATGGATGCAATTTGCCAGGCTATATGCCCCATTTGAGTTACCAGGCTCACTTTCGACTTGGTAGCGGAGCTGGCCGCACTCTCGTGTGGTCAGCTCTTGCTCTTCTTAGCCTCATATTCTTCGGCACGATCTTCGTGACCACCTACCACCCTGCGCCACCACTCCCAGTACGTTTACGAGGATCTATTCAAGAGCAAGAAGCAACACGAGAGGTACGACGTCTAGACGACCAAACTGGTACCATATACGCTTCATCATTGCGTTACTACCAACCGCTCGGCAACGAGCTAACAGCGCAATACTTGAAGCAAGGGCGGGGAGACCCGCCAGACAGAGCGCCTCGAAGACTCGACAAGGCGCTATCCCAGCGCGACAACGCGCATCATAACCGTCCTTCGTTACACATTCTCGGGCTAATCGTTTTCGCTATCATATGGTTCGCGCTGGGGGCAGCAATCGGACACATGCGTCGTGGAGATAACAGCACCGATGGGCAAACACATGGCCCATATTGGGACCCTCAAGGTAATGTACCTTTTCGTGAGTACATCTACGAGGTCAACGCATGGCTCAACGTTACAAGCGGACGTATGACGCCACAGGCCCAAGCGGCCGCAATACAACGCGGCCTAGGTGGCCTAGCGAGGACATTCGCCATGAGGGTACCGCCTGACATTATAAACTATGGTGCTGACATCGATGGGGTCCACACAGACCCAGTGACCTACATCATGTTCCTCCTAAGCATGAAGTTCGAACGCCTGGAAGATGAGCGACAGCTCACTTCCGGCACACAACTCATCGACTTCCACGTGCCTCACGGGGAACGAATCGATGTCACCCTTACCCGATTCGAAATGGCCCGACTTGAGGCACAGTCGGTGGGATTCGACCTTCCCAACTTCCAACTGCTAACCACTATCCTATTCCGCGCCTTAGGCGTCGGCAACCAGCGAGCCATGCAACTCTTACAGCCACTCAATCACCAAATGCCCCGAACACAACAACAGTATGATGAGTTGCTGGAGAGGATGCGTTCGATAGGCCACCTATCCGAACGGTCTCCTGGTAACATAGGATCTGTGTTTGGAAGGGGAAGGGGATCTGGTAGTGGAAATTTCTACACTACCTTGACTACTGAAGCCCAGCCTGGAAACGGGCCCTCAAGCATATGGGCCGATGACCCAGGCGAACCCACTGCGTTATTAGCAGGGGATCGATCACAACCAAGCTGGGCAACCAGCCCTCCTTCTAGAGAACCACAACCACACCGCTCGTTATGGGGGGAATCAAATCCCCTAACCGACGGTGTATCCACCTATCTAGGAGACGAAGATTTCGACTCCGGCACCGATACAGACACTATATCATCAGATGGTGTTGAAGCTCTAGATTGGTCAGATATCATGAATATGGATAACGACAATCAGCGTGCTGAGCATTTATTCTGGTTGTTACAACAGGCTAAACGAAGGTGGAGGAGGTTCACACGAAAACCAGTGCGTCGTGTTAGAAGGAGGATACGCAGAAGTTTTAAAGGAAAGGGTAAAGGCAAGCGTGGTCGTCGGAGGTTGAACGGGCGAGGTATCGCGGCATTTCTCCAGAGGCTCTCAGATGAACAACATGATGAGATATTCTTTGGGGGAAAAGGCCGTGGTAAAGGCCGTAGAGAGACCTCAGGTAAAGGTAAAGGTAGGCGGGGAAACCCGCGAGGTAGAGACGGCCAGGTTCTCAAATGCCATGAATGTGGTAGTTCCGATCATCTTGTGCGAGATTGTCCAGCGAAGGGAAATGGAAAGGGCATGTCGTCCGAAGTCCATTTTGGCTCAAGTGCACCATCCATTGAATATCTGAGCCTCCAGGACTTTGAGGCTATGGAACAGATATTTTTCACTTGGGTTGTTGGCATGGACAACATCGACGAGCTCGAGGGGTATGGTCATGGATTGTGCGCGTACTACCTCGAGTACGTCCGCCGGTTCGTCACGGGCAGTAACGAACTCACTCCCGTGGAACACGGTACGCTTGGAAACGAGCCTCTTTCTTTCTTCGACTGGATGTTCGGGAACCCAGGCAACATCATGGCCTACGAGAGCGACGACGAGGACACCACTATAGAGGCTTCGCCTTCCGAGGTTCAACGGAACCTCGAACCTCCGCCCGAAATCCCGCCTGGAAACAGGCCTTCTTTGATGGGAGAATATCCCCAGACCACTGAAGACTTAATTGAAATGGAGTCTCAGGCATTTGTTCAGGCCTTCATTGCAGGCGAACCAGATATTCCGTTCATACCTCCTGGTTCGCTTGCTCCAGGCGAATATGGACCACGTACCCTTTTGCAGACCCTCATGAGGATGCATGAGATACTTACAATTGGTTATCCTGAGAGTCAAGAACACATCGAAGCTGGCATCATGACAGAACAGGATAATGATGCTTGCGGTAGTTCAGAGCTACTTTTGGCAGCTCTGACTCTCATTGACAGCGTGTATCCTCAGGAAGTGCAGAGACACTTGATATACTCCCGTGGTAGATGGCGTCGTGCTCTGGAAATGGCAATGGCTATGCGCGGTCATGATCTTCCTCCGCCAGGATGGGGTCTCCAGGCGGTGGGAATGAGGCCAAACCATACGGCCATGCGTAACATTGCTGGGCAGCCTATGCTCGGCGACGAGCCTGAGCCGACAACAGTGCCTCCTACTCCGGGACAGCCGAGCGACGCACAGACGCCGGCTATGCAGGGAAACCTGCCTGTACCAGATACGCCAATGGCCATCATCATCGGTAGTTCGACATCAGAAGAAGTAGAAGGCGATGGTTGCGGGTTAGATGAGGATGACGTCACCATCCTCATGATGGACATGAATTGTGAGGAAGAGGTTGACTTCGATCCTGATGAGTCTGAATCATCATCACCATCGGCACAAGCGCCATTTGCGCCGAGCTCCACCCAGCAGGGAGACCTGCCTCCATCGGACGATCCATCTGGGATCGCACAGGAGCCTCCTCAGGCACCTTCACCGGGTGCCGCTCCTGCTGCTTCGGCAGCTTCCTCTGATGAGAACACCAGAAGATCTCGTTCCCATACGCGCGTCAGAGAAGAGCCACATCCACAGGCTCGACTTCCTCGTGAGTGGAGACAGGCTGGCCCAAAAGAACACGCTCTCAGGAGAGGTGGCCAGCTACTTCCGTACAACGACCCAAGACGCCGAAAAGGGGAACACTCGGCCTTCGGCCAGGGCAACCCTGCCTATAGGGACAGCGATGGCAAGCCCATCCGCGGAGGCTATCAGCTTGCAACAAACATCCGCCGCCCTGAAATTCAAGAAGTGCGGACTCAGTTACGAGATATTATCGCGGCGCGCAAGCAGTATAGGCCTCACGCAGCATGCGGACCTTGTTCCCAGCCGTTTCAGAACCACAGGCCAGGATGCCCCGTTGGCAACAACGAAGGCCTGAGCCCCAACAGGGGCAAAACCCCTCATAAAGAGGGCCATCCGCCACTTATCCCGATGACGCAGGACGAGATCGCGGAAGTGAATCATCGTCTCGGGATTTTGAGCCACTTGGATCCGAAAGAAGAAGAAAAGCCTACCCCGGTTCCAAGGGGACTGGTAGCCATGACCCAGGAAGAGAAAGACGCGCTCTTCAGTCTTCCTAGTATGC